AATTCAGTGCCCAGGGATGGGGAATGCTTGCATTGGAATTAAAATCTGCAGCAGACAGGATAACAAGACGGAAACTTAGCCTACATGTAGGGGACTTCCTTTATTAAAGAGGTAAGAACTGTATGTATGGAGATGTGTGCCTAAGAGATGTTTTCCAGCCTTTTTATTTCTAGGTATAAGGAATATATAGTTGAAAAGTTCCTAGTGCAGCATTTTGAATTTGTTATTGAAGCATAAAACAGGAAGAATTTATCTTAAGACTTATTCCAAGATCAGAAGTGAACAGTGTTTTTCTTGTTCTGTCTAAAAGCTGCTTAAAACCCCTGTTTCCTACTGTTTCCTGTTGCCAAGGTAATCCAGGCACCTGGGTGTTGTCTCTCTCATAATGAGACTTTCCCTGGTCACAGTGCAGCACTTCTACCATGTTAATATGCGATAATGAAAGCTCTGTGACTGCATTTGTTCACAGTTTCTTTGTTTGTTTTTACATCGTGGGATTACGAATGCTACAGAAATCAAGAGCTGCCGATACCACACACCCTTTCAGGAGTGCCGTTAGAAGAGCTGATATTGTGTCACTCTGGCATGCAGCCCATTAAATTTTCTTTTCTTTGATTCTTGAAACCAATAACTTTTAATATGCCCCAGATGAACACTTTGTCCTAAAGACACTGCGTGACATCAGGAAATGTTTTAGTAGAAATATGATAGGGCATTTTTAGATCTTCACAGAGAAATAGCCTCTGCCCTGGGAGCTTCCTAAACGTGATAATAAATAATGCAATAATAATTTATTTTCTCATAACTTACTCCTTGGAGGTCTCTTTGTGGGTCAGTAAAGAACTTATTTAGTAAAATTTAGTTATTCTGTAAAATTCAGCTATATAATAGGGACTCTAAAAGCTCATCAGTGTTGAAAGAATTGAAAAGAACTTAAACAGCTACATTTTTATATTTTGCTTCAAGCTTTGTCACTGTTAAAAGGGATATCAGACTAGATGGTTTGTAATTCTCAAGTGCTTATACCGTCATGCTCTTTCATTGCTCAACAGTTGTCTATGCTAGAATTATTTGAAAGTACAGTTGTGCTTTTCTCAGGCAGCTTGGTGGGGCTGATGCTTGTTAACCTTTCCTTTTAAAGGCCATCCCTAGCTGCTGAAATTTGCTAAAACTTTGGCAGAATTTTTCCATGTTTGGAATCAGTAATGTTTTTGTAGTTGTCAGGGTAAGAGAAGGAGAAGACCTTCCCAGGATGATCCTTTGAGTGTATTCCGATGAACAAATCCGATGTTATATTTGAAAACTAGAAATCAAGAGGAGAATGTTTACTTTTTCTTCCTTAAACATAAAAATTTTTATAGAAGTCTGACTTAGATATATACATTCAGCATTCCTGTAGCTGTGCATGTCCTTCTGTATGCAAGAGGTTGTGAGATGGATTGTTGTTCGGTGGCATACAAGTGGAACAGTAAATGAATGAAGGAAGAAAGAAGGTCTGGGATTGCCTAGGACTGCTTAGACCTCTTCTTCCCAGCGATGGTCCTTTGTGACTGTGCCTGCTTTTCTTTCATATGTAAATGACAAAACTGTCCAAGATGCTGTATGTGCTTCTCATGTAGGTGAGCAGGAAGAGTGGCACTTCTGAACTGGGGCAGATTCCAGGCCCCGTGCCATCGGGCCTTTGTCACCGCAGCCTCTGAGCGGCAGTGGAGGAATTGTGCCCAGCACGGTTCATGGGCCCAGCACAGTTCATGGCCCCACAGCACTTGCCCTGTGGTGCTTTTACTGAAACAGGTGCTGCTGTATTTTGTGTGGTTTTACTATTAAATCAGTAGCAAGGCAAAATGTTTGCTGATAGAGATGTTAGTTCAAGTTGGTCATCCTAAAGAGAAGGTTAACAGATGAAAGTTGCGTAGACTTCTCAGCAAAGGTCTTGCAGTTAAAGTCAGCAAACTTCGAGTTCCAGCTGAATATTGACCTTGACTTTTTTTGATCCACGTTTTAAATTTGCTTAAACAGCTTTTCTGAATATTTGATTATGCCATTTTATCTAATTGAGCTAATTGATGCAAAACCACTATTTAGTATTTGCCTTAAAGTGCTAAGAAAATGACTAAAAATAAATATGAAATATGAATTCAGCACATCTTAGTTAATTATGACTTTGGAAATCAAAAGCAGTTTCTTCTCTTTAATGATGTCTTCTCTTTCCATATAGCTAAAGGACTGTTCAATTAAATTGAACAGAAAGTATTTCCATTTTTATTAAATTTCATACCTGTAAGAAATGAACAAGGATATGTAAAAATTTCATGTGTATATAAATTTTGTTGAGGTACAGTGTTTTGGAAGGTGATGTACCAGAAAGAAAGCTTTTAAAATTTTGTTTGAAGCCTTGTGCTAAGGAAATATTGCTTAAAGAAACACATTTTCCATGTAGGCAGTTTTCACGTTTTGGTTGCATTGACTAGAAGTTCTGTAAACACTTGCCATTGAAAAATGTGATTAATTTAGTTTAGTCGTGGCTTTGGTGCCACTACAAAAATATGTTTAATGCCCGTATGATTGTGTAGGTTTGAGCGAGCAACGAAGATTATTTAAAATATTCCAACCTTAGTTTTAGAGTTTTGAAGTGCCAGTGAAGAATGTTCTAGAATTAGGTAAAGTAAGGAAGGTAATATAGAACTCCAAAAGCACAATCTCTATGAAAACGACGTGTGTAACTATATATAACTACAGCCATGGGTGCATCACTCAGCTAGGAAATCTGAGAAAAGGGGACAATGTCATTTGTAGAAAACTATGGAATCAAATGTGCAGTGTGGTAAAAACTTAATGGGTGCTTACATTTAAATATTAATTTAGTCTGTTTATGGTTAAAAGGAAATGGCTTTGCTCCTAATTTAATGCCCCCCAAAAATGATTTTTCATTTTCGGGAAGGGGTCTCCATCTGTTTCCTCTCGGGAAGCGCCAGTGTGGTGCCGCAGAAGGGGCTTTGTGCTGGTTTTAGCCTGTTCCAAAGCGCAGGAAGCCTGACAGCAAGCAGAGCTTTGCTCTGATCGTCTGCTTGGTAATGCTGAATGGCCAGTAGGGCTTCAGCTTAAATCCTGTTCCTGAGTTAAAAAAAAAGGGAATCATCCATGCTCTGCATCCTCTACTGCAAGGAGATACCCATGGCATTTGTCTTTCAGTGGGGCTAATTCTTTAGAACTGGATTCCTTAGAAGAGCTTATTTTATTGCTCCTTTTTAATGTCTCCATATCCAGGAGAGATTATATTACACAGTTTCGGTTGCTGTGTTCTGTTTTGGGAGAACTTAGTGTATGAAAGAGCCTGTATAGTAACAATAACATTTGAGAAATTAGGTGAAGTAGGGATTTTCTGGTTTTGTTTTGTATTTTACTGGAGCACATGAAAGCTGATTTATTGCTGTCTTGTGTTTAATTTTGTATTCAACGAAAAATTATAACCTTACTAAATTGTTGAAGTAAGTACTAAATTATCTTCTGGGTTAACTTGAAATACATGTTTAGGGTTGCAATTAAGCAATGAAATTCTCTGACTGCATATGAAGGCTGTATTCTTTTAATGTTTTGCTTTGTAGATGTAGTAATTTGTGAGAACTTCATTTAATGAAGTTACTGGAAATTAAGGTTAATGATTGAGGATGTAAGGAAGAGAATTGTCAAATCATAGACTGCTTATTTTTGTATTTTCAGGAAAGAGATAACATGTAATGAAGGAACTAAAATTACTAAGTGTAGGTAGACTGAGATATATTAAGATTTTTCAGCTGCCTAAATTAAGTTTAGGGTTAAAGCATGTCTAATTTTGATGGTTTAGAGAGATGTATCATATCATATTGGATTATTTGTTTTGTAATGTTAATTATAGACATATTCTTGCTTTGATTTCTCTTAATACAATTGTCTACTACAGTTATAAGAATTCTGAAATCATTAAATGTTATTTTAGAATTGAGGCACATATGTGTCCATATGGTATTGCATTTAAAAAGTCCAGTGTGTTAGTAGCATTCACCCTAAACTGTCCAGCAGTATTTAGATGCTTCCAGAAGCAGATGTGTTTTGTAACAATTCAGTTGTAGTGTTGTAGCAGCAAAGTGAATTATTTGGGTTAAGTTCAATTTCTTCAGTTGCTATTTCTGGTTTCCTCAGCTCGCTCCATATGCTTGGAAAGCCCAGGAGGTACCATTTTAATTGGTGTTCCTGAATGTTCTGCCCAATTTCTCACGTGTTCAAAATGAATGGATTTTTTTCAGAGTTCTGAGGTTTCCTGGGAGCGTGTGCAGAAAGGCACCAAGTGGTAGCATCTGTCCAGGGAGTGTGCCGCAGCAGACCAAGACCGAGCTGCTTTCTCTGCTCGTGCCAGGCATTCCCTTTATCCTGCCTCCAGCAGTTAAAACCTTGTTAAAAACGATGGTTTTCTTTTTTGTTCCCTTTTTTCTCTTTTTTTTGAGAGGAAGAACAACTAACCTGTCTTTTATCTTGGTCTTCTGAAAACAATGGGGTATATTTATCATTTTCACGGTGTGCAGAATATAATTGAAACAGATCCTTCTGCCCAATGTGAAACGCCAGGCAGAGGCGGGGGAGGGCGCCTGTTGCAGTGTCTTGGGAGATGGTTATCGATAGTGTGTGAACAACACCTTAGTTTGCCTGGTTAGACAGATGTGAAATCAAACACATCGAAATGCAACTTTGAAAACGGCAAGTTTTATTTAGTGGAATATTTAGCAGTTTAATACTTTTCCACATCTTTTCTTTAAAACATAGCAAATGCTATACACTGCTATCATTAGTAATGACAGTGACGTACTTTTTCATAAGTATTATATCTGTTATTTTGATCTGAGTTTCTCTAGACCACTGCCTTTGGTCCTCCAGGCCTTGACATGTTAAATGGCAATGAACGTGACTTTTTGTTTACTGTTACAGCAATCCTGTGGTTGTACAGCAGTTACAGTTACGGTTTTTCACAATGCTTTTTCAAAGCCTCGCTATTTTTCACATGATTTTGCATTGTGCCGGTTGTAGTGCAGATGCCTTTGCTTAGTTATGGCCCGTGTTAGATCCACCGCTTACCGAGTCCCGTCAATGGGCACATCTGTGGGCAAGAGGTGTTGGTACTGGTACTGGAGCAGGATGTAGCTCAGTGAAGATGCAGAATACACAGGTTTATTGTGGTTACACAGTAACTCTCAGTTTGTCATTAATACAGTAGTAATGAAATTGAGCCTTAACTTGCAAACTGCTCCCTGAGTTAGATCACAGGCTGTCTATAAATCAATCCAGTTTTGGAGGGGGCCCTTTCATTTTTTGGGGGTCTTTGCTTTTTTTTTTTTATAAACTTAATGTGCTAATTATGGTGGAGAATTGGTTTGAGCTTTCTTACTGTTTGTATCAATGCAATTGATAGCATAATCAACTTACTCCGAGGAAGAAAATCTTTTAAAGTTACTTGAACTTCTGATTTCACAGAATCACAGAATATTAGGAGTTGGAAGGGACCTCGAAAGATCCAACCCCCCTGCCAGAGCAGGATCACCCAGAGCAGGTCACACAGGAACACGTCCAGGCGGGTTTTGAATGTCTCCAGAGAAGGAGACTCCACAACCTCTCTGGGCAGCCTGGGCCATGCTCTCTCACCCTCACAGTAAAGAAGTTTTTCCTCATGTTCACACTGAACCTCCTGTGCTCCAGCTTGCACCCATTGCCCCTTGTCCTGTCACTGGACATCCCAGAGCAGAGCCTGGCTCCTTCCTCCTGACACTCGCCCTTTACAAATTTATAAACATGAATGAGGTCAACCCCTCAGTCTCTTCTTCTCCAAGCTAAAGAGACCCAGCTCCCTCAGCCGCTCCTCATCAGGGAGATGCTCCACTCAGTGATGCTCCACTGATTTCATAATCTGGTCTCTTTGTGCACTTACTTCCTTCACAAACTTAGTTCACATGGTAAAAACTCCAATATTTCTTGTGGAAATGTAGTGCTGATAGAGTTTTGGGAAAATGTTATTAGGAAATTCTTCTGTAATTCCATAAGCTCTTAGTTGGTATCAAGGCTCACGAATGCCTGAACAAGCAAGTGTACACTCTGACGTTTTTGTTCTAAATCATTATACCTAGCCATCTGTCTTCATAGAAAATGCTGTATTTTTATATAATCGATCAACAGAAAATGTATTTAACTTTTGTCTTTCATGTTCTGGTAATTTCTAGACAAAAATAGTCAGTAAGTGTTTTAGGAATGACAATGTCTGCTGTTCTTAGTTCTTTTGATTTTACAGTCATTGAATGCCAGAGAAGAAATGAGCATGGAATAACTCGACCATCTCATTTTTAGCTCGTACCACGTGCTGCCAGTGCAAAGGAAGGTGAATTGCCATTTCAAGACCCAGGCTGTTGAGTCAGCAGTTTGACCCAATATGTTCAATTCATTCCTGTTTGCAAGGCTTCTTGATGTAAAATGCTAGTATTTATTTCAAACATGAAGCATCTGTCTTATGGACAATCCAAGGAAATCTTGTTATCTCCTGTAAAATGTGATACATCTTTAATATAACTGTAAAGAGTAGCTGTCTGATCAAAATATTTCAGATTAAAGAGTTGAAATCATCAGTTCATTATTTTCAAGTGGATATTGTCAGTTACCCAAATAGCTGACTTATTCACTCTTTACAAAAATGTGTGTCAAGACATTATGTCATATCAGGTATAAAGGAAATACATCAATCATATAAATTCTAAATTTTCATATAAAGCAAAACGTTTTTGCTTCATGTTTTTTTAAATTAAAAAAACAAACCAGCAAACCAGACCAAACAGTGGAAATTATTACCAGAAATCTACTTACTATTCATTCTCCAAAAGGCGTCTTGCAAAGTGTTATTGCCAGGCCAGTCTTCCCATGGCTTTGAGAGTTGTAGTCCTGTGTCGTTCTTTCCATTTGTTCACACAGTAAGAAAAAGCAATGCAGACAGTGATGTCTGTCATCCTTGTGAATTGTTTAAATAGACATTCATGGCATATCTAACAAAATATTTGGTTAGCAATGCTAATAAATATTTTTCATTGTTTTCTAGGGCCCTTTAGAAAACGATTTGGTAGTACATGTGGCTCTGATAGCAGAAAGTCAGCGGTAAGTATTTACTTTTATTAAGAATGTATATTTTAAGGAAATGTTGAACAATAGATACCTTAAATTTGCTAAAGGTGTTCAAGGAAATGTAGAATGTAATATAATAATACTGCTACTCGTGTATCTGCTGCCAAGATAATTGTTGCAACAAAGGCTATTCTGTGACTTGTCATTAAACTTGTCATTTCATTTGCAGCCTACAGGTTTTTCTGAACACGTATGGAATCCAAACGCAGACGCCCCAGCAGGTGGAACCAATTCAGATATGGGCTCATAAAGAACTTGTCAAAGTAAGGAATTCTGCATTTAAAATGATGTATCTATCTATACATTTCTATTGTAACAATAGGAATTTATATCAAGCTATTAGATTTGTATCTCCTTAAGCTTGATATTCGATTGGTATTCGACTGCAGGATATGCTGGCACTGGTCAGTGCTACGTGCCTAGTCTGAGCTTTCAGTGAAACTCTGAGGTGCAGGAATTCTGTGTTGTCTGATCAGGCTCATTACCTGAGCCGCTTTCAAAGAATAATGAATGAATAAATGTTTAATAATATTAATAGCACAGTAGACTAAGTGAAATGTGATTGACAAACAAGCAAATGAGCAATAGTCAGAAGAAATGGATTATACAGTCTGTGCTAACTGGTTTTTTAGAAGTCCCTTGAGTTGACTATAATGAAGAAGTTTGGTATTTAAACATTTTTGGTTTACCCCTTTAGCTCAGCACATTTAAAAATCCATAGAAAAGAAATATCCTTGGTTACATTCAGCCCTGTTCATTTCTCAGCCCGTTTTTGCTCACTTGTTTTGTTGATATATTTTAAAGTGGATTTCCTCTGACTGCATCTGTTTTTAAATTCTGTACCTGAAATTTTGGTTTAATAAATAGATACTCCATAAATTTACTATAGAAGTTTATATTGTTTGCCATCGATAATTCCTTTGGTCTCCCTGACAAAAACATGAGACCTTCATTAAATTTTACTATTATCAATTAAATTCTTAGCTCTGACAACTTCTGTGTTAGGATTTATTTTTCAAAAGCTGGCGAGACATCCAGCAATTCTGACGTTTTCTTTATACTCATGATGGGTAGGTACATCTGCCTTATCAAAATTTACTTTTTAAAAGAATGTCATGAAAACATTAACATGGCCTGATACAATACGTCTTTGTAGTGGACTTCCAGAAAAGGCTACACAATAGCTTGGAAGCTGGAATAACAAAAGTGTTTGGCACATTATGAGAACTGAGGTTTGATCTCCAGGCTTATGCAAAAAAACCCAAATCAAATACAAACCCAAATGCAATACAAACCAAAAATAAATTAAAACAAAAAACCAGAAAATCCCTGGTAATATTCATCATCCTTTGTGGGGAGGGGAAGCCAATGCTGGAACAATTGTCTGTATTTTTTGGGAAAAGAGGCTTGATCCATAGAGAACGTGGATCTCAGTATTTGCTCTCGTGATGCTGTCATCAATTCTAAGCAGTTTAATTAGAAACTTTTGAACTGGTCTAATGGCACATGGTAACAGGTTAAACCTCTGGACTTATAAGCAGTGTCCAAAAAAATAGTGTAAAAAGAAACCACTGGATGAGGGGAAGATGTTGATTCAGCAAAATTAGGGATTGAAAGTAGGGCTGGGAGTCATGGAAACAGAGGAACAGAGTTGGGTGGAGGGTGAGAATGAGAAGAGGAAGAAGGGGAAAATGAGAAAATGTAATGAGTTGCATAAAATATATAGGGAATAAGTATCTATGTAGTGGAAGCTTAGTTCAGGAGAGTAGCAGAATACTCCATAGGCATAGACTGATAGCAGATAGCACAGAACCAGGTGGTGTGAGAGATGTCTCTGGTTTGGTTCACTCTCATCAATCAACCCACCAGGCAAGTCTGCTTTCACAGCCCTTTCTTGCTATTAGCAGCTTTCATGTTCCAGAATTGAAGGGCCTTTTAATCAAAAAAACCTGCTCAAAGCAGCTGGACTTGCACGAAGCCGTACCTTTGTTCAGATGTTCTGGTGCTGAATCTGAACTGGCGTTTCAGCTGTAACAGATCAGGTTGAAAAGCTGCAGCTAGGAGCTGCAATGGCTTTAGTGGGCTGCAGAACAGCACTGGGCCTCAGGTTGAAGAGACTTCAAGGGAGGAGACAGTATTGCAAACTGTTGGAGCTCTGCTTTTGTTACGGTGTTTTATGTTTTATGTTTTACCTTCTAGCAAAATGAAGGTCCTTTCAGTGTTAGATTTTAATGTCTGCTGCCATTCTTCAAATCTCCATTATTTACTATAAAAAGGGGTTCAACATTCTTTTGGCTTTGTTACGTATAGCTGGGTTATTTAAGGCTGGTAGTGCTTTGATGTCTCCATTCCCTTCACACTTGAGTACGGTTACTTAGTCTGGATGAACAGGTGACGTAGGTAATTTTGTTTATTTTCTTTTTTAAATAGTTCTTGGTATTAATGTAGAAACACAGGCAATATCAGGACGGCCTCAAGCTGATAGCAGTAAAAAGCTATTGAGTGTAATGTTTGTTCAAATGTGCACTTTCGTTTGCTTCTGAATTATCTTCCTATAACATAAAGATTGAGCTTAGGAAAATGTGCTGAATTCCAAATGTTCTGAAGTTTTTTAGTAATAGTGGGCTCCTTATGTAAAACATCACAAATAAGTAAGAAATCAGAGCTTTCAGACTGGTTTGTCTGATGCATTTATACTGTCTTGCTCACAACTTGTTTTTAAATGGTTGGTTTTGAATGGTTTAATTCCCATGCATTGTAATAAATGAAGATTATTTCTTTAATATGCAAGTCTTACAAAATAATATCAGTTGACGTAATACCAGGCATACATAATTTAACTCAAATAAGAATCAAGCAGTGAATAATGAGATCATTCCCTCTTGCTTGTGTTGTTGACGCATTAATTTTGCAGGCCTTTACTAAAATTAGACTAAAGAACTTTAAAGACTTCCTATGTTACTGTTTTACCTTTGTATCCAC